GTCATGAATTATAGGTGGTGGAAGGATTTATGACTGGGGTTTTATGAAGAGAGGAGAGTGGTAATGACCAGTTATTATTTTTAGTTCTGTTAGTCTTATTGTCCAGAGATCGAAAGATTGAATTAAAAGTTCAGCTGACAGCAGCACTATGTTGTAAATACCTATGCCTTAAGGCACGTATGTATTGCTTACAAATGCCCTTGAAGTTATTTTGTGAAAAATAATAGAATACTAGAGTTAGCAGGTTCATATTCATATTAGAGTAACTTAATTGTGTTGTGCTTCACGCTGCTGAAATTATTTTGTAGAAATAGATAAATGAAAAACTTGATTTACATCCAGGACACAGAATGCCTTAATCATTCTTGATATTTTACAAGAGATCAGAAAGTAATGGACATTTTTGCTAAATGTCAGGTATAGTCAACACAGGAAAATTTAATGGTTTAGTTGTAACCTGATCTTTTTTCTTAATCAGAAACATATGGGAATTTTGTTACCTTGAGTATTGATGTAACTTTTATATAACATGATAATATGACTTGGTGAGTTAAATTTATCAGTGGCTTTGAATTATGTCTCTCTGTGGATTTTACTGAACTAAAAACCTATTTGAATATTGTTAGTCTTTAAGTTTATTTTTATTTTCTACTTAGTTTGAAGTCATGCCACAAAAGTTCAGATTTTAATTTTTGTTCTTCCTAATCCTAAATAATAAAAGGCTAATATGCAAATCGACCAAACAGTGGAACAACCGATCACTATGTTGCACACTGACCACCAGGGGCAGATGCTCAACGCAGGAGCCGCCCTCTGGTGGTTAGTGCGCTCAGCCAGAAACTGGGCTCACAGCTGGCGCGCTCAGTGGCAGTGGCGGGAGCCTCTCCCACCTCCGCGGCAGCGCTAAGGATGTCCAACTGACAGCCATCAGTCTGACATAACCCAAGGGCTTCCAGACTGCGAGAGGGCAAAGGCCGGGCTGAGGGACACTCCCCTCCCCCAACCCCTGAGTGTACGAATTTCATGCACCAGGCCTCTAGTCCTATAGAATAAAGAGGTAATATGCAAATTGACCATTACTCCAATGCACAACATGGCCACCCCCATGTGGACACAAGATTGGCTGGCCGGGGAGGGCAGTTGTGGGCGATCAGGCCAGCAGGGGAAGGCAGTTTGGGGTACTTAGGACTGCAGGGGAGGGCAGTTGGGGGCAACTAGGCTGGCAGGGGAAGGCAGTTGAGGGGGACCAGGCCTGCAAGGGAGAGCAGTTAGGGGTGACCAGGCTGGCAGTGGAGGGCATTTGGGAGTAACCAGGCCTGCAGGGGAGGGCAGTTAGGGGCGACCAGGCTGGCAGGGGAGGGCAGTTAGGGGCGACCAGGCTGGCAGGGGAGGGCAGTTGAGGGGAACCAGGCCAGCAGGGGAGGGCAGTTGGGGGAGACCAGGCCTGCAGGGGAGGGCAGTTAGGGGTGACCGGGCCGGCAGGGGAGCAGTTAGGCGTCAATCAGGCTGACAGGGGAGTGGTTGGACGGTGATCAGGCTGGCAGGCAGAAACGGTTAGGGGCAATGAGGCAGGCAGGCAGGCAGGTGAGCGGTTGGGAGCCAGCAGTCCTGGATTGTGAGAGGGTTCCCAGATTGGAGAGGGTGCAGGCTGGGCTGAGGGACACCCCCCTCCTGTGCACGAATTTTGTGCGCCGGGCCTCTAGTCCTATATAATAAAAGCCTAATATGCTAAGTGTCCGGTCGTTTGGTTGTCTGTTGAACCAATTAAAGTGTAATATGCTAATGATATGCTAAGGCTGCTCAACCACTTGTTATGAGGTGCACTGACCACCAGAACGCAGACGCTCTGACCAGTAGGTTAGCTTGCTGCTGGGGTCCAGCCGATCAAGACTGAGTGAGATGGGCCAGACACGCCCTGGAGCCCTCCTGTGGTCCCTCCGCGGCTGGCCAACCTCCCGAATCTCTCCCCGGCCCTGAACATGCACCAGTGGGGTCCCTCGCCTTGGTCTGCGCCCTCTCACAATCCAGGACCCCTTCCGGGACGTCTGAGAGCTGGTTTTGGCCTGATCCCACAGGCCAGGCCGAGGGACCCCACTGGTGCACGAATTTGTTGTAGACTACTTAAACCTAGTTAAAAATGGAAGCTTTACACATTATATAATTTTGGGGGGTTAGGGTTATTTAATCACATTTCCCTATCCTGTATAATAAAAGCATAGTATGCAAATTGTCCCCGCAATCGGAAGGTTGTCCAGGAGTTCAAAGAGGGGGTGGGGCTGGCCAGGGGAAGGGATGGAGGGAGGCTCCGGTGGCGGCAGCAGCTGCTAAGGACCCTACAAGTGCATGAATTTAGTGCACTGGGCCTCTAGTCCACTATAATAACATATTGGAAAGTCTGTAAAAATAGAAAAGTTAGGCCCTGGACAGTGGCTCAGTTGGTTGGAACATGGTCCCATACACCAAAAATGGTTGAGGATTTGATTTCTCATTGGAGTTTATATGGAGTTCATATGTTTCTCTCTTTCTCTGCTCCCTTTCTCTCTCTCTCAAAATAAATAAACATATTCTCAAGTGAGGATTTTAAAAAAAATGGGGGAGGCTGCTATATATTGTTACCTAGGGCTTTAATAGAGCTGAGAACTAACAAGGAAAGGCATCTATCCTTAGTCAAGTATGTGACATTTAAGGCCTTTGGTTAGGATTTCTGGCATATGAGTATGCTGAGTATAGGTCAGCAATTTTCAGCTTTCTTCATCTCATGGCACATAAACTAATTACTAACATTCTGTGGCTCACCAAAAGTATATTTTTTGCCAATCTGACAAAAAATAGGTATAATTTTTATACATTTGCACAAGATAACTGTGGTTGTGTTGGCCGTTGTCATTTTTTTTATTTCACAGTCTAAGGCAGCGGTTCTCAACCTGTGGGTTGCGACCCCTTTGGCGGTCGAACGACCCTTTCACAGGGGTCGCCTAAGACCATCCTGCATATCAGATATTTACATGACGATTCATAACAGTAGCAACATTACAGTTATGAAGTAGTAACGAAAATAATTTTATGGTTGGGTCACAACATGAGGAACTGTATTTAAAGGGCCAGAAGGTTGAGAACCACTGGGGGAAAAGAGGTCAGTGCTCTAAGTACGTATTGCATGTTTTAAAAATTCTTGCAGCACACCAATTGAAAATTAGGTAATCAAAATAAGGGTGTCTAGTCACCTTATACTCAAATTCCTGATAATCTTTTTATTTATTATGGTTCTTCATTTTGGTACTTTGATTTTGTCTTATATCTGGAAAAATACGTACATACATATATACATATATACATCATATATAAATAGGTGCACAAACATGTTCATTGTTTGGCTATGTGTCCAAATCATCACTGATATTTTCAAAAGGCAGACAGTTTGATTAGGCACATCTAACATTATATGTATCAGCATTCAAATGTAGCTGTTCTACATAAATATCTAACCAAAGGAGCTTACCACAGTTTTATTACTACACAACGGACAGAGATTTGAAAATACAGAGTTTTGAACACCAGAATTATTTCATCAGCCTAGTATTGGGCTAATTTGTTGCTTAGAATATGGCCAATTATTAGCCTTTATACCTGCATTGTGCAGCATTTAATAGTATTGATTACCTCTTCTTTGTTGGCCCCATGACAGCTCTTTTTCTTTTCTGATTTATCTTCTTCATCATCTTCATTGGGTCTCACATTCACAGTCATTTAGAAGCTAGTCCCCCTACCTCCCCTCCCACCTGCCTCAGGATTTGATCCTTCATCTTTTTTTTTTAAAATATATTTTTATTGATTTTAGAGAGGAAGGGAGAGGAGAGGGAGAGAGAGAGAAACATCAATGATGAGAGAGAATCATTGATTGGCTGCCTCCTGCACACCCCCTACTGGGGATCAAGCCCGCAACCCACAACCCGGGCATGTGCCCTTGATTGGAATCGAACCTGGGACCCTTTAGACTGCAGGCCGACACTCTATCCACTGAGCCAAACCGGCTAGGACAGTGGTCGGCAAACTGCGGCTCTCGAGCCACATGCGGCTCTTTGGCCCCTTGAGTGTGGCCACAAAGTTTCAATCTCACTGTAAGTGCGCTCCCGCATGTGGTATTTTGTGGAAGAGCCACACTCAAGGGGCTGCAGTTTGCCAACCACGGGGCTAGGGCGATCCTTCATCTTTACATGCTGTTTTCCATTTTAGTGACCATCTATGGGTGGGTGACTCAACTCTGCAGACTCTAAAAAAGCAATTTTAAAACCCAATTTTATAATAAACCCTGTTCTGACTACTTTTCCTTGGGGTCCTAGTTTCCTATTTCTAGCTATCTGATTTGCATCTCCATCTCAGCATCAAGCACATGGCAGAGGGAACAAGTGCAAAAGCCACGATTAATGATGTCCCTGACATCATTAATTATGTGTATATGCAACTGCACACATGTAGGAACATACATATGTGCTTCACGTAATCTAAAGTGGAATTTAGTGACTAGAGAAAAAGTATTATGATTTAAAAATTTTTGTTTGAGAAAAGTTCTTTATCTGTATTTTATGAATATAGTAATAGATAATGATAAGCAAGTTATACTGGTTATACTGTAGGGTGGTCCTTGTTCTTCATCTTCTCATTCCATTTTTTCCTCTTTTATGCCCTCCTTTTTCATTCCCTGGAAGAGAAATAGCTCAGGAAACTGTCTGACCTGCACTAGTCTGGGAACTTCCGATTCTTACCAGAACCTCCCTGGGCGTGGCAGTCCCTGACGCAGCAGCGGTGCTTGGGGGTAGGAATCTTTGCAGTGGCCACCAGGCAGTGACCAAGGTTGCTACCTGCAGGTGTTAGCCTTTGCAGAAACTCGGCTGGACATTCTTTTTTCCCTCCAATGCTCGTATGCATCTGTGAATCACAAATACATGTTCCTGACCCCCTGCCCACAAGTAAGGAGGGACTGCTGAGGAGCATTTCCTGCTGAAGACTGGTCATCGTTCGTAGTCAGTATATTCTCCAGCGCAGTGTTCTCTTACCCAGAGCCCCTCCGTGTTATTCCTGCCTTCGTTGTGAGTTAACGTGCTTATTAGGCACGTTTTTAGATTCTTTGTCTTAGGATCAACTTTGATTTATATAGGAGTTAAAGGGAATTGTAATTAAACTTGTACTTTTTTAAAACTAAACTCCATGCCAAATAAAGTAGTTAATTAGGTGTCATTGTTTTATATTTATCTCTTACTATCTTTACTATTAGATTTTTTTCAAAAGCCCTATTTTACTGATATTTGTAACATGTTACCTGTTTTATTACTAGAATAAATAATATTACATAAAACATCATAGGTTGAGATAATTTCTAAAAAGCACAGAAATTGAAGAAATTTAAGAACTCATTTTAGACTTAGGTTAGCATCTATGTATAGCATCAAACTCTTATCAAGAAGCCTCCTGTATTGCTTTTAAAAAAGACAACCAAGAGGAAATGATTTAGTTCTTTTAGCTTATAGAATTGAAAAAAGAAACACATACCTTCTGTTTTCTACTTTAGGAACATATTTTTAATAATTGATACTACTGCAATGGTAACTTTTTATAGGTTCCTGTTATAAAGTTAAACATAAATAATTGAGGATCATGCTTTGATCATGATCAAAGGGTAGAAAGGTCAATAGAGCAGCCATCAGCACCAGGTCTTTTAAGGGGTGAGGAGAGGTGATAGACAGGAAGGAACTTTTTCTTCTTAGGGAAACAAAGTATAACATTTTAATGGTAAAATATATCTTTGCCCTTTTTTAAAAATCTGTAACATGGAAATATCTTCATAGTTATTTTTTAGGATTAAATAAGATAATACATATAAACAGTTTAGAGTAGTACTTAGTATTTATATTTAGTAAGCCCTTAATAAATTTAGCTGTTGTTATTCTTATTTGGATTTCTTTTTTAATCCTCACCTGAGGATATTTTTCCCATTGATTTTTAGACAGTGGAGGGAAGAGAGGAGAGAAAGAGAGAAACATCAGTGTGAGAGAAAGGCATCGATTGGTTGCCTCCTGTTCACACCCAGACTGGGGCCAGGGATCGAGCCTGCAACTGAGGTACATGGCCTTGACTGGGAATTGAACCCGTGACCCTTTGGGCCATGGGCCGATGCTCTAACCACTGAGCACTGACCAGGGCTATTATTTGGATTTTAAAAAAGAGAAACAAACCATACTCAGGGACAGCTGATGATAAATACACCTGCAATTTAGGATTTAATGAAGTATTTAAGATATTAACAATGATACCCAGCTTCTTCATCTGTTTGTTGAATTGCTTTGGGAAAGTTAGCATAAAATTTAAATTCCTTATTCTGGTTTAATAGAATGCAATAAATTTAATGACTGTCTTACAAGTGAAATAATTACATTTATCCTTTTTTTTTTTTTTTTTTACTTTGTTTCAGGTTTCCCCTCAAAAAACCTATAAGGTAAGTTGTTCAGTTGTTCTTCATACATTTAGGTTAAATTTTCATTAGAATTATTTCTTTGAAATTATGGTGGATTTTTTGTGGCTTTTGAAATGTGGATTTTAGTTTAAATTTTCAAAATATTTTACAAATTAGAATGTAATAGATGTTTCTATTTTTTCTAGAAGATGACATTGTTTTGATAACATTTTCAATATTTTTAATACAAGCATTTTATTTTATTTTTATTTATTTATTTTTTTAATATATTTTATTGATTTTTTACAGAGAGGAAGGGAGAGGGATAGAGAGTTAGAAACATCGATGAGAGAGAAACATCGACCAGCTGCCTCCTGCACACCTCCTACTGGGGATGTGCCCGCAACCAAGGTACATGCCCTTGACTGGAATCGAACCCGGGACCCTTCAGTCCTCAGGCCGATGCTCTATCCACTGAGCCAACCGGTTTGGCTAATACAAGCATTTTAAAAGTTCAAATCGGTATTAAGGTCACACCCTATGAAGAGATTTACATTTTTTTTTTTTTGCTTTTATTTTTTCCCCCTTTACTCTTCTTTTTATTATCATTATTTATTTTTATTGTTGACTCTATTACAGATTTTAAAATCTATTGTGACTGTTTTTGGCTGTGAATAGCTTAGGGGGTGTAAATGGATTACTAGTTTTTGATGTGTTTTATCATCTGGTAACTGTAACTACCTTTAGTTAATGAACTTTGGCAAACAGAGTCAGTCTTAATTCCTTTAAGACAGTAAAGGGAAAAATCCAAAATGTTCAGATGTCTGTGCCCATATCTATATCTGCACATTTATTAATTTCCCAGGATTAAATGCCTCTTTCTTAATACTTGTTCTTCAACATCTCTCTCTCTCATCTTGTCATAAATATTATTTAAAATGTAAGTAGTATGTCATTCCTACCTACATTTGTAGTACATTTATCATTTTTAATGACACCATACATAGTTCAGGATACCAGTGTTAATCTTGGGATTTCCATTAATTAGTAGTGTATGCATTATAGTCTGTCTTATTTACTGCCTAGCCATTATCGATCAATGTAATTTGATAGACCATAAGAAGAAGAAGAATTCTTGTGTCATCAGGGCTTGCATACGACTCCTGTGACTAGAACTATTCGCAGGTTTTAAGTGCACCTTCCCAGTGATTTTTTTTCAACTGCTAACATCAGTGCTATATTTACACAGTGATTTTAAATCTGACCATGGCATACTTAGGTTTGGGAAATGTATTGAATTACTTGTAGGCATGGTTTTCTTATCTGTTAAATGAAAATAATAATGAGTAGCCTTTGAAAACCACTAAAAGAATTTAAGCAGTATATCTAAGAATAAAACAAACTTTATTGCTGAATACTACTTTTCTAATTTTAAGCACTTTTTATAATCAAGTAAAGAGCCACTGTGTTACATGTAGCATAGCCTGAATTTTAAAACTTCTTGAAAAAATAGAGAGGTTTATGAGACGGTGTAAGGTAAACTGATTTCTTGGTCTCTCTCTGTAAGACACACTTGAGATTTTTAAATTAAGTTTTTATTCTAATGACTGTTCTGGAGTACATATTTGGTTGCTTTGGTTTGATTTAGGCATGGAAGTATTTTGAACCGAGAGTCACCAGCTGATAAGAAGCAGAGAGTTGAGCGCAGTGCATCACATGATTTTGACCCCACAGGTAAAAACACTGTTTGTTCTTCCAAAGAATATTGAAAGCAGTAGCTTCAGAATACTATCACTCAAGCTGCATAACTGCCTGAGCACCTGTTTCAGAAGTAGGACTTCTGTGTAGGGCTCTCCTCCTTCTTCAGTGACGATGTAAACTTTGCATTCAAGAGAAATGCAAGCAGTTTTAACTTTCAATACTTTGAATTCCACTTTGGAAGCTTCATTGTAAAGTGTATCATATTTAAAAATAGTGATTATAATAGCAATAGTGTTTATATCATAATTGGGTATTTTGTTACGACCAAGGACTTAGAATTAAAATAAGTCATAGGTATGAACCAATAAGTAAGTAGTATGTCATAAAATTAAGTCTACAACAACTACCAATTTCCGTAGTCATTTAAGCATTCAGGTCTGGAGTAGATAAAATGCAACTTCAAAATTAATTATCATTTTAGAGTAAGCAAATGAAGAGACCTTTTTCTTCAGTCAAAGAGGATTCTGCACTCAGAATGTCTTTTACCCTTTCCTAGCGTTTTCGTGTCAGTGACCTACGGAAAGCCTTTATTTATACAGAGTTTGACCTCCTCTTGTAAAATACAGGCATTTGCTTTCTCCTTGTAAATGTACCAAGAATTTAATTTATAAAAATTACTTGATAATTCTGCTTTCACCATTTGAAACCAATGTGTGTTCTTTGTGCACATACTATTTTATTCAGTGGTATGTTCCTGTGACAAAAGATAAAAGTAAGTAAATGCTGAGGTCCCAGCTACATAAATAAAATGTATCTGTTTTCAGATATTTTCATTTAGAAATAAAATTTAATTTTTAATAGAAAGTAAGTATTTTTTTGTGTCTCATTAAGATGCTTCATGCTTTTACTTTTGTTATCTAGGAAGGAAAGAAAGTGAATAGCTAATAACTTACCTGCATCTTCGGTAGTAGGTAAAAGTGAAACCTCAGTCATCAATTTAGAAAGTTTTGGTGGTGGGAGTATGTAATATGTAACTTCTAGATCTCCATTAAAAGATACCTTTTTTAAAAATTTCTGACACCTAATTTTGACTTATTGTCTTGCTAGTGAGGGTCAGTTTTCTGCCTGTGTTCATAAAAGTATTATGGTCTTATTGATTGACTTATTCTGTAGTGTTCATCTGTGATGTGACACATTTAGCAAGTGATATGTAATGCTTCATAATGAGATTATTATAGCTTTTAGTGCTTTTGCTGTCTCTAAAATTTTCAGATGATGTATTTTGTAGACTATTCATGTTTTGTTTTGTTTGAATATATTTTTATTGCACTGTCTTTTCTTTGGTAAATCTGTAAAATATGTCATTACCTGTGCTGTTTGTGACTATTCTTAAGTGCTGTCACTGGATGTTCATACTTTGCACGATTTAACTTGATCATGATTCATTCCTTTCCCCCATTAGTTTTTCCCTTACATTGGTCTCCATATTTTCTATATCTCTCTCCTTTTCTCCCGCTCTTGTGCAGATAGCTCCTCCAAGAAGACAAAGTCTAGTTCAGAGGAGAGTAGATCCGAGATCTATGGTAAGCTCATATAGCCAATCAGCCTTGCACCTGTGGAGCTTGCTTCATGCTGTTTCCTTTTTTAAATAACTACAGCCTTCCTGTGTCTGCTCTGCATGGCATGATGTGCTGCAGGGAAAGGGAGCCTGGGGCCAATGTGGCGCTGATGTGGAAGCTTAAGGTTGCTAGAAACTAACATTGTCGAGTAAGAATAGGCCACGTTCCTCATCTTCTCTTTCATTTTGTTCATGTTAGGAAAGTGTCTTTAATGTCTTTGGGTCAGGTTCCTCCATGTAACATGAATAGGCGTTGAATTCTTACTATCTTCTTCCTATTCCCATTTGCAGTTTGGATCATGTAAAATTTGTGTGATTTAATGTGTGTTAGCAGTTCTTTGGATCTTTTACTTTTTGCTTGTTTCTTTATTTTTAATCACATCATCTTTTGGAAATGCTTGTATGATTTATCCACAGCAGCAAAAATACCTTAAGTTTTTATTTTTGTAACATGAAGTATTTGTCTATGCCTTTCATAAGTTTCCCTAATTTCAAAATGGCACCTTTTTAGCATAATTTTTATGAAGAGCAGGTTTCAGCAGAACGTTCAGCTTTGTAACAGGTGATTGAAACACCAGTATTTCCAGGCTATGTCCTGTCTCCCAGGTATGCGAGAAGCCACCTTGTGAAGCTCACACATATTTCCCTTTGCCTTTGCCTAGTTTTACTTTCCCTCTTTCCTTGTTTTGACATCTAATGAGTTTTTTTGAGAAAAGTGAATAGCAGAAGCAGGGCCTGGGACCAATTCTTTAAAATAATCTCCGGAAGAATAAGAAGGTTTTGGTTTTCAAAAAAATTTTTTTAGTTTTACTGATTTCAGAGAGGAAGGGAGAGGGAGAGAGAGAGAGAGACATCAATGATGAGAGAGAATCATTGATTGGCTGCCTCCTGCACACCCCCCACTGGAGATCGAGCCCGCAGCCCTTGAACAGAATCGAACCTGGGACCCTTCAGTCCACAGGCTGACGCTCTATCCACCGAGCCAAACCAGCTAGGGCAGAAGTTGTGTGTTTTTTAAGAAGATTCCAAACTCAGCATCAAAGGAAAACCATGTCTCTCTAATACAGCCAAAAGTCTGTAAATAGAGGTTTCCCCAGGTGTAGCTGTTCCTAGCTTGATAAACATGTAAGGAAAATAATATACGACACTTTATAATTTATATCTCCTGATAAAATTATGAGGCCTCAGTGTTTGGTTATAAAGCAGTAAATGCTTCTTTGTTAGATACATATATATAGGTCTTTGCTTGGGTTTTTGTGACCAGAGTTTTCTCTATGTAGTTAATAAACCTTTTACAGGACAGTAGTTCAACAGGAGATGTATACCATGCCAAACACATGTCAAGTTTATGTTTTTTCTTCCTAAGTATCCACATAAGTAAGAAATAGCTTCTGAATTTCTTGAGACTTTTTTCTGTTCTCTATAAAGAGTTTCCTTTCGTTTATTCTCACCTTAGGAACGGGGACTCTACCGTTTTAGCCCCATTCATTTCGATACCTCTGCAACTTTCCATTTTCCCCCTACCCCCACCCCATTTTCCTAGATCTGTGGATCTGTGGTCTGTGTGAAAGCTTGTTGTTTGATTTGAATGTTAATATTCCAGTGATAGTAACACTAGCCAACACATGCCATTGGTCTGGCAGTCACAGGGAAGTAGGGTGTGGATTCTCTGTGTGTTTGTTTCTTGACAACCCTTGAAATGCCCTTTTTGGAAGAAACTGAACCACGAGTCCCCAAAAAGTTGTGTTTTTTAAGAAGATTCCAAACTCAGCATCAAAGGAAAACCTCCTTACAGAAGGATGAGTTTATGAGAACTGAGTTAGCATTTTAACTTCAATCTCTTTGACATCACAAATACTTTATCAACTGTGTAAATAGACTTCTTCAGACTGTGTGCACTGAGCATGGGTAAAAAAGAATCTCTCATGTCTAGGGAGCCAAGCAGAGCTGGGACATCCTGGAAGATGAGATTAGAACAAAGCAACTGGTGACATTGCTTTAATGTAGGGTCTCTTAACCAGGCAGCTTCTAACTTGTGAGATTATACATTGTTTTGGAGTAAAATTTATTAACTGGATAATTAACACAAATGTCATTCACTTATAAATTATATTTATTTTAAACTTTCTAAGCCATTTTCAAAGCTCTTTTATCAGATGGATTTACTTTGCGCATTTAAGAAGGAACCCAAGTACTTGTTCTGTAGTGATTCCTTTTGTTAGTTTTCTGCCCAAGGCAGTAGGTCAGCATTGCTTCCCTATCACCTCATTCCCCCGTACCTTTTGGAGTCTGTTGATGATACTAGTATACAGGTGTATTTTCTGATCTGCAATTTTCCCCAAGTTATTATTCTCTCTGTTTTCCTCTTGAACTTTGCAAAGAGCATTCTTACTTTTCTCTCCTTTTCACTAGTATTGTAATGGGGAGATTTTGTGGGATATGAGATTTAGCAAGGGAGTGTTGAGTTAGACTACTTCTTCCTCACGTCTGTCTGGGTTTCATGAAGAGATACCAGCTGATAGTATTTTGCACAATAAAATAAGCCATGCCTTTTTGAAGCTGCCTCACTCGGTTGGGGCTGCTAGAACAAAACACCAAAGACTCGCCTTGAGTCATGGACATTTAATTCTCTTCTCACAGTTTTGGAGGCTGGAAGTATGAGCTCAGGTGCCAGCATGGCTGGGTTGCGGGGAGAGCTCTTCCCCTGGCTTGCTCTGGCTCACTCAACATATGCATTTTGTGGGGACACCAACATGCAGTCCATGACAGGAAAACTGTTAGCACTTGAGACATCCTGGTTTGGATACTTCAGAGTACATATTTTTAAAATTCATATATTTTCCTTTTTTAATGTATTTTTATTGACTTTATTGGGTGACATTGGTTAATAAAATTATATAGATTTCAGGTGTACAATTCTATAATACATCATCTGTATATTGTGTGTTCAGTATCCCATGTCAAATCTCCTTCCATTACCATTTATTCCCCCTATTACTTTCTTTTACTTCCCCCACTTTCTATCTTTTTTTAAAAATTTTATTTAAGCTTCTCATATATGCAAAAGGAAAAGTTCTTGGTTTGATTCTTATTTTCCCCAAGTTATTATTCTCTCTGTTTTCCTCTTGAACTTTGCAAAGAGCATTCTACAGTATGAACCTTCAATGTACTTATAAATCATTCACTTGTTAACCTCTTGAAATCTGACATCTAAACACATACTATCATGAAACAGCAGTTTGGGTCCCTGCCACAGACACCATCCCGGATGGCTCAGTGAGGTCAAAGCCAGTGGGACCCCAAGCACCTGCAGCTGACACCTGCAGACACGCTCTGTGGGGAAGGGAGTACAGCTCAGAACAGGGACAATCAAGGCTGAGACTCAAGGCAGACACAGCCTCTGGGCTAAGAAGTCCCTGACCCCTGGACGACTAATGGATTCAACATCTTGGACCTCAGTCAGGCTGCCCAGAGCCAAAAAGGACTGCCGGGGTTCTTGTCCCAGCATCAAGAAGGATTCAGGAATCTAGAAAAGGCGCTATGCGTAGATGACATAGGAATCCAGAGACTAATAAAGAGTCCGGAGACGAAATATAATTTTGAAAGGCATTGGGGGTCAGAGGACCTTCAGCTAAAGGAACTGAAGACTCCCTCCTTGTCGAGGACGCTTGCTTTTATTAACACAATTTATCCTAAGGCAAGGTGGAGATAATACACTTCAAAGGGTAAGGTTTCAAAGGGTACAGAAGCATGGTCAGTTTGGGGGAATTAGCCCACGGCTGTTCAGGTGTTTGGCCAGCAGGAGGCAATACCATGTAGATTAAGATGCCCTTTAACTGTCTGGCAGCCACAATCAGTTTCCTGTTCAGGTTTGGGGAAATGCCTTTAGCCATTCCCAACAGGTGACTACATGTGTGACTCAACCCTGTTGAGTCCCCAAGTTTCATCAACCTTTTGATGAAACTCTTGAAATTATGGCATGCTGGAATTGGTCTATGGCAAAGGACAGTGACTCACATTCACCTGCACTAGAGAAGCTCCCAGGAGGCCCAGGATAGACACACCAATGGACAGGATTCAACGAAATTGAGCCCCACAAATAGTGGACCCAAAGTACCTCTCTATAAGAGCTGGCACAAAGTTGGAGGGGTGAACCTCACTGGCAGCAAGTCGGTGGGGTGATCCCTCCCACAAACAGGACATCAACAATCAAGTCCCAGTTACAACAGGAGAGCCCAAACAATGCACACGAAGGGCATTCCTAGAGAGAGCATCCAGCTCAGGTGAACAAAGAGACTACACCACTGGACCCTTCAAGACACATCCTACGTAAGGCCCTCCCACAAAGACTGGGAGGCATAGCAGTTCTACCTAATACATAGAAGCAAATACAAAAAAACAGCTAAAATGGCGATACTAAGAAACAATTCCCAATGAGAAAAAAGAGGGAATCTCTAGAAAAAGAAGTACGAGATGGAAACAAGCAACCTATCAGACATGGAGTTCAAAACAAGATGCTAAGGAACTTAGTGCAAATTACAGCAGCAAGAAAAGGGAAATAGAGGCTATGAACAACAACCAGACAGAAATGAAGAATGATATATATGACATTAAGAACACACTGGAAGGTATTAAGAGTAGATTTGGATGAAACAGAGGATCGAATCAGCGACTTGGAAGATAAGATAGAAATACCAGGTGTACCGGTTAATGTGGATTGTTTTCAATAGATGGAGTTACATATTTGTTGATATATATGTGATTTGATATGTATGCTATTTTGTTGTATTGACAGCAAGCTTCAAAACTTCATATGTCAAATTTTCTGAAGGTGTTAACATCATAGATATTTTTATGCTTAAAAATGTCGAATTTCGTGCCAAAAAAAAGAGCATTTGTGGGAAGTTTTAATTCATTACTTTATTTTGAAGAAAAGTGCTGCTGAAGGTTATCGTATACTTCTGA